TCCCCATTCGCCCCGCCTCCCGCCCGCCGAGCCAGGCCCCCGCCCGGCGCACCCCGCTTCCCTGCAGGCTGGTGGGGACCCGGCCGGGGCCCCCAGTCCCGGGGCGCAGGGGCGCTGGTGCGGGGGCGCCTCCCGCAGTCGCAGGGCCACGGGGACCCCGCCGGGCCGGCTGCCCGGAGAAGGGGAGGTGCCCGCGGTCCGTGAGGCCCGCCACGTCGCCCCTTCCGCCGCTCGGCCCGCCAAGGCGCGGAGGGATGGCCGGCGCAGGCCCAGGCGGGACAGAGGAAGGGGCGGGCACGCGGCCAGCACACGGTCCCCGGGGCTGTGGGTGCCGAGTCCCAGACATTGCGGGCCAGGGAGCCGGGCCCCGCCTAACCCCGAGGGCCCAGGGGCAGGGCCAGGCCTGGACGCACCTGTGAGAGGCCAGTGCGGTCTAGCCGAGGTCTTCCCTGAGACCACGGGTCCACTCTGACCACACGCTCCACTCTGAACACAGGGGTCCACTCGGACTTCAGGGTGCACTCAGACCACCGGGTCCATTAGGACCTCAGGGCCCACTCGGACCATAGGGCTGGAACCCAGGCCCCAGGCAGGAGGCGTGCCCCAGGGCATTCTCCGACTTGGAGCCGGTGGTTCTGGAGGGAGTGATGTGAGTGGGATGATTCTCTCTCCCGGACTACTCATGGAAGCAGGTCCTCAGAAGAAGGAGGCATTTGGAGAGCTCTACTTTGTGGCACCTTATTGACTAGGGCAAAAGCTCAATAGCCCCCTGGCCAGCATTTATGAATTTAAGAAATTCACAAGTCTTGAGACAATAAGGCCAAATGTCTCCCTTCTCCTTGGGGCCCGACCGGCGACCGGCGGCAGGTGGTGGGTGTGGAGCATTGAGACACGCTCAGCCCTGTGAGCTCACACGGACACCTGAAGTCACCAGGAAGGTGCCCCCCCCAGCTCCTGGGGACGTCACTGCCCTGAGGCTCCCCGGCCTGCTCCTTCCCTCCGCAGAGGGTCAGGGAGTGACCGGCCCCTCTGGTAACCTGGCCTAGGCTCGCGGGACAGCACAGTGAGGTGTGGCCGTGCTGAGGCCCTTCTGTGTCTGAGGCCTGGGTGGGGGGAGAGACGGGAGGGGATGAAGGGTCAGGGGCAGGGTGTCCACGGCACCCACACTGCTGACACTGCTTCACGGGCAGTCCACGCCGCTTCACAGCCGCCTTCTTGACCGTGGCCAGCACCTTGCCTGGGCCCCCGTGACGGGCCCCCGTGTTCTGATGTGTGCAGGGGATGTTTCCAATCCGCTAATCAGCACGGACCTGCAGCGCTCCCGGACCAGACCAGGGCTTCCCCTGGCACCGCTGGTTGCGGGGGGTGGAAATGCTCTCTGGGAAGTCCAGGTCTGAGACGAGCTTTGGGGAGAAGCAAGGACTGGATAGGTGAATCCTTCAAGGAATGAGGAGACCGCCCTGCAGCGTGCTGTGGCGGGGACGGGCTGGGGAGACCGAGAGGTACGGGGGCCCCTCTCCCACTGGCCGATGGAGAGAGGATGATCAGGGGCTCTCAGGGGAGGGCACACTCAGGACGGGACTCAGGAGTGTGCCGTTTGGCCACAGGCAGCCAGCCCCACGGGAGGAGCTGAAACCCTGTGAGGGGCGTGACAGGCCCCCTCAGGCAGGAGGAACCCAGAACTCCGGGGAAGGGGGCCTGGGTCCAGGAGTGGGGTGCCCTCCTCTGCTGCAGCTGGGAAGAGGGAGGGATGGCTCCCAGGGCAGTGTCACCCACGGGTGACGCTGTGGGCACCCACTGTGGGGTGCCCTGTGGGTGGCAGCCGGCTTTCTCCTGGGGACTCTGAGGGGTGGGTCGTGGAGAGATGCTCCTGGCTTGGAGGAGTGGCTGGGAAGTTCCTGGCTCACAGCAGTGTTCACACTTAGGCTTCGAGTTAAATATGTGATGGAATGTTCTAGAATATCTGGAGGGTTCTGAAAGCTTGATTAGGAGAAGCTGGTCTTGGGCAAGGGAGTAGCCAGTGCCGGCAGCGCTCTGGGGAGGTGAAGCCGCAGGCCTGGGGCGTCTCGCTCTTGCTGTGTTTGTTTTACGGAGAAGTGTTTCCTGTACTCCACACGCATTGAGAACACAAGGTACCTGCGCATTCCTGTGAGGCTATTTTTGGTTTGTTTGTTTGTTTTTTGAATTTTAGAGTTATTTATAGGAGAGAAATAGATGTTTTCCTTCATTTTCTTCT